GACATCTATACTAAAAAGTGCTTTCCCCTTACTGTAAAACTCGCAACATTTTGGATCTGAAACTAGACATGTTAAGTCCTCTTTGATTGTAATTGGCCTTATCTGATTTTTTCTTATTCATCTAGAACAGGCCATCAAAGTATGATGATACATATATGTGATATTGCTGTCTTTGCTGACATAGAAACTTAAACAATTACCATAATATCTAATTCTAGATGAGGTTGCTTGTCAGCACCTCATTTCTTATTATTATTTCAATTGACAGGTAATATGGGGTTCAGGGGAAGTTTATTAGATATGTCTGAGCTATAACATCAGAAAAAAGTTTAACATAATGGGACTTCTGTTTAATTCTCATTTTGCATAAGATAGGTGGCTTGGAAATAAAACTTATGTTGGCGCCTTTCAAATATTGCAATTATATTCTCTTCATACATCAACCATTAAAAAATACACAAAAAGCCCTGGCTGGTGTGGCTCAGTGGATTGAATGCCGGCCTGTGAACCAAAGGGTCGCTGGTTGGATTCCCAGTCAGGGCACATGCCTGGGTTGCGGGCCAGGCCCCCAGGAGGGGGCACATAAGAGGCAACCACACATTGATGTTTCTCTCCCTCTCTTTTTCCCCCTCTCCCCCCCTCTTTAAAACTAATTTAGTTTAAAAACTAAAACTAAATACACAAAAGGAAAAAATCAATGATGTATTTGCAAGCTCTAAAATATATACATTTTAAACAGATGATTATAAGTGAATGATACTATAAGACATAATACTATAGGAATGGTACTATAAAACAACACAAAACTCACACTTCGCCCTCCCCCAATGTATGACTTGGGATATATTACGGAAATATTTGGGTCTTGATTTCTTTATAGGCAAAATTAGAGGACTGAGCTAAATAATCACTAAGGTTTCTATTGGCTTTAAAATACTGAACATTAAGAGTTGAGGGTTGTTACTAAGCAATTTAATTGTATGAACAACAGGAAGTTATTATTAGTTGGGTTCAATAAAAACAGAAAGTTACCTGCATCATCAAGGCTAGTGGAAGAGCCTGTTGTCTGCATGGGAAGGTTTTAGTACTGACAGTTTCTCTTCCTGTTGGGACACTTTATTGTCTCCAGCAAATGGGGAAAGAGCCAAATCTCGACGTTCCAGCCAGTTAGGAGCCAGTACTTTGCACCTCTTGTGCAAGGGCACCTGCCAATATTCTCTTAATTACTATATTACTATTTATTAAAGACAGAGCATGTTTTTTTTTTCGTGATTGTTTCCTCTGGTGGACATAGGACATTCTTTGGCAAATGAGACTCGTAAGTGCTTTGTTATATCTTGTCTTTGCTGCCTTCTCCCCTCCCCCAATTCCACTAAGGATGTTTAATTAAGATAGCATGTTCCAAATAGACTGCATTTTCAAAGTGATCCCTCTTGAATATTGGTCATTGTAACTAGATTGTCAGTCCCCGCAGAGCGCAGACCGCGTGGTCTATTTCTTTTATATCTCAGTACAGAAGGTTGGTCAGAAGCTTTCCCCAAAGTTGCTGGCCCACTCTCAAGTGGAAGATCCCTGGAATAAAAATGAGGAGAGCAAAGTGTGCATCCGGTTTCGGCTCTGCCGCTTTCCGCTCGGGCAGACACCGGAACCTATTCATTCCTCCGTTAGTGTCTTTGAAATTGCGATGATAAATCCTTGTTTGGCTCCGCAAAGCTGACAATAGGTGTGGAAATGACTTGACTTTGTACATTTCTGTCCAAATGGGAGCTTTTCTAGTTTTCATGGTGTCACTGCTGACCCGCCCAACAGAGCTCCAGTGCAGGGACTGACGATTTTACATCTCCCTTGTGCCAGAGGGTCACCGCTTTCGTTGTGATGGTAAATAGTCCTTGCACAGCCTCCTCTGGCCGCTGTTTCCCCGTTGCTCTAGCCCTGTGATTTCTGCTTAGCAATGCAGAAATATTTGTAGTTTGTAGTTTGACTGCAAAGCTGATTCTATGAGATAAAGGTAATGCTCTTTATTAACTAGGGGGTAAGTGCACGTGGGAGAAGGGATTAGTGCAGGAAAAAAACTGGAGAATATTAATGATTAATAAGTTCCCTGTCATTGGAAAAATATTATTTTTAACATGAATTTAATAAATTTAGTAAAACAGTGAAACAAGGAAAGCTTTAAAAGAAAACAAAGTAGAGGTTAGGAATTATAGGAAGCAGAGTCTTAAAGACTGTATTACCTTGCTGATAGAATTAAAAATCCATTGCATATAAAAAATAACTTGGCTGAAGATATTTTAATTTGTGTTTGCCTTGTTTATTTTACTTTTTCAAATGCTTTTAAAATCATACTTTTTCTAATGCTTTGAGATTATGGATACATATTTATGATTTTATCATTTACTTATGATTTTTTTCCATTTAGTTGAACCAAAATTTCATATATCCCATTTACAAGTACAGTGCCTTTGAGCTAAACCTTGGTAAAAATAATAATAGGTAACTATTTAGCACTGTGTAAAACCTGTGTCAACCGATGGTCCTTGGTGCCAATTCAATACAACCGAAGCCCCCCGTTTGGGGCGTGGTGAAGAAGGAAATTTTACTCAGTGCAAACAGATCAATTCCGATGCAGCAGGGCTGTGGAACAGCGTGGCCGTGAGATGGCCCTGGGGCACAGTGGCACTGGGCCAAGGCAGCCCTCGGAAGAGTCCTCTCTCTGACCACACAGCTCTGCTCTGCTTGTTCTGCTCCACTTCTCATGGGTCTGCTTCGCTCTGTTCTGGAGAGATATTGTTGGTGTTTCAGCCTCAGCCGGAAATGTAGCCCTCAGTCTCAGGTAGAAAGGGAAAGCACACTGTGAGCCAGAGGGGAGCTGACTTATATAGACAGAAGTCCCCACCCCCGGCCCCTGATTGGTCCATCCTCATGCAAATAAGGACTCCAAATCCTCACAGTTTGATTGGTCCAAAAGACACTGTCCTGATTGGTTAGAATGGAGCCACTTTGACTGATTGAAGCTACTGATGGGGCTAGAGGTGCACAGCTCTGATTGGATGGGGAAAGCCTCAGTCTTATTGGTTGAAATACAATTCCAGGGACTCCTTTACCAGCTAGGGCTGGCTCAGATGTCAGGAACACAGTGAAGGCCAGCAGTTAGTGCAGGCTTCTCCCTGAAGTGTGATTTGCATGAGAGGCCCTGATGTAGAAATGCCTGCTGAGCTCTGTTTTTAAATTTGAGCCCAGGTAGCTACCAAGAGCCCTTCTCGTTGGGTATCTTTTTTACTCAGGGTCACATCTGTTAGAAGATTATTTCACTTAATCCTCACAACAGTCCTACAAGGTAATGAGGATGATTATTTCTAGCTGTCGATGAGAAAACTGGGGCCTAAGAGAGGCCGAATACCTTGTCTATGGCCACAGCTATATCAGTGGAAGAAGGTCCAAACCTGTAGGGGATTTTTATGAAAATTCATCTGAGTCACACAGGATACGCCTGAAACAAGATCTCAACAGACTGAGAAAATGCTTCTTAGAATAGCAGTTTGCAGCTTCTATTTTCGTATGTAGAATTGAGGGAATGTAAGGAAGATTATATGAAGGCAGGAGAACGCGAGGTGGGGATTGGGTTACGGGATGGCTTCAGCCCTCTTAAGCTGATATTATTTTTAGTGAAACCTCTCCATTTCTGGAAGCACCTGCAAGTTGAGGGTCCATATGAATTGTATTGCCCATGGTGGGGCTTGTAAACCTTGGAGGCACGATTACTCGTGTGAATTTTAATTTTTCTTTTGAGTCAATTTAAAAAAGCTGAAATTAAAAGCAGTCATATAGGAAAAGCTCAAAGCCAGGAACCGCTATGTAAAGCCGGTAGGTTCCACCTCTCAGAGCAAACTCTCCCAAGTTCACCCAACGAGAAGCAGGGAGCTGGTGCAGCAAAACGGGCCGCAGCTGGGACCTAGCAGGGAGTCTGGTTCTGTGGGGTGGGCCAGGGTGGGCCTCTTTTGAATCCTGCTGATTGCGCCAAGTCAATGCCAATGTAAGAACGTCCAAACCGGTAGAGAATTTTCATAAACATGTATTTGAGTCAAACAGAGACTACATCTGGAAGCAAGATCTCAACAGGCTGAGGTGGAAAGCTTCCAAGCAGTGACAGCCTACAGCTTCTTTTACGCATTTAGAATGAAGGAGGGAGAGCAATGAGGAGGATGCGACAGTGGAAGAAGGCAAGGCAGGGGTCACAGGACAGGGGAGTTAACAAGACCGCGCCTTCTCCAGGGTGGTCACACTTTAGAGGGAGGGACGTGAGAGGGGGCATCGCCAAGGTGCGTTCGCCTAGGTGCTCCCGTCATTCCGTTCTCCCCGGTGATTCTAAGGTACCTCCCGGATTGAGAACCAATGGATCAGGTATTCCGGGTCCTCAAAGGTCCTCAGCCACTTCTCTTGTCCCTTTTAGAGAAATAATAAAAAAAACAAGTTTGGACCTACTCTAAGTTAGGCTTCTGGGGTACATAGGAGAACATTTTGAGCTTCTCTCTATCGCTCTCCTCTTCGGGGTGACCGTTCTTGCTGGTCAGCCCCCTCCCGCCTCCCTGTCTCCCCTTCCCCGCCCCTCCCCATCACCACACCTGAGACCGGCAGCCCCGGCCATGTCCTAGGCAAATGGCAGTGACTCACTGCCTCCTAGGAAGGAGGGCTACCCGCGACATCCAAAAGGCTGGGGCCCTTCCTCGGACGGGAGAAGATGTGCGCCCCTAACGTGGCCCAATCTCTTTCGGAGCCGGAGGTATTTGGGGGCGTGGGCGGGAACACCAGAGCTGCCCTTCCCCGTGGGGTCACCCAGGCCTCAGACGGCAGCGCCCTCTGCGCGTTTGAGAGGCTGCTTTCTGCACACGCCAGTAGCCCTGGCAACTCCCTGGCTGTGTTTACCCATCCGCTCTCCCCCGGGAGAGCGCTGAGGCGGGTGACCTGTCAGCGCTCCCTTCTAATCACTGATCCATCTGCAGGGCGGACTCTGCTGGAGAAGCTGTTCAGCCAGCAGGAGAACGGACCTCCCGAAGAAGCAGAGAAGTTTTGCTCCCGGATCATCGCCATGGGCCTTCTCCTTCCTTTCAGCGACTGCTTCAGGGAGCCGCGCAATCAGAGCGCCCAGTCAAGCTCAGCTCCGTTTGATGTAAGTAGGATCCCCTGCTGTCTGGGAGGCAGACTGCAGTCGAAATAGCGCTTGTGACGTGCATCCGCCCAGTCACCCCCTAATTTAAAAACCAGCCTGCGGTGCGAGCCTCCCCTCTGCGCCCCCCCCCCCCCACCCCGCCCCGACAGCTCAGTGCGTCTGTTTCTATGCTTTCCTTTTCCACTGCGGATTCCTTTTTTTATTCTGTTTTTCAATGACAGTTGACATGTAACATTATTTTGTATTAGTTTCAGGTATACAGCATGGAGGTTAGACAAATACGTACTTTACAAAGTCTTCCCCCCTGATATTTCTGATACCCACCTGGCAGTATGCACATTAGTACAATATTGTTGACTATTCCCTATGCTGTATTGTACATCCCTGTGACTGTTCCGTAACTACCAATTTGTTTCCCTCCGATTTGTACTTGTTAATCCCTTCACCTTATACACCCAGCCTCCCAACCCCCCTCCCCTCTGACAACCATCAGCCTGTTCTCTGTATCTATGAGTCTATTTCTGTTTTGTTTGTTTACTTATTTTGTTCTTTAGATTCCACATATAAGTGAAATCATACCACATTTGTCTTTCTCTCCCCGACTTAAATATTTCATTTAGCATAATGCCCTCCAGGTCCATCCATGCTGTGGCAAATGGTAAGATTTCTAGAATATTCTTTGTTGTATTCTTTATTTGCCAACCCTCCCTTCCATAGCAGACGACCACTCTTGACAGCTATCTAGCCTGCTTTAATCAGGGGTGATTTAAAGTGGCTCCGATCAGTATTCCTGACTTTGCTGGTCATAGACATTCCTTCAGAAGCAGCTCCACGGGGTAAGCGTTTTGTTCCCCGAGGGCCACAGGTCTCCATGGGCCTAGAATGCTGTTCCATTGCATTTGCTACTCGTCTACATACGAAATGTTGCCACGAAGCAGCGCTGTCTGCTTTCTTCCCCAGCTCCCTGTCACCAAGAGGGTTAATACTGCGGAACAGTAATTCAAAAGACATATTCCTAATTCCTAACGAGTATCAGCATAGTTGGATTGGATTATCATTTTCAAGCCAGAGTATCGCTAATCTGTCTCAGGTATGTGGTACATGTACGACATTGGTTGTGATAAGTATATGAATTTATCTTAAGAAAATTAAAGGTCTTGTTGGCCCGCTGTGCAGAGGTATCGTGAGGCAGAGCTCTCGGTGCAGATGGGTTAGTTCTATTGCTTCCATCAGTACCCCCGACTCTTATCGACCTCTTCAATATATATGCTTTTGACCAAGGAGTGAAATAACTATGGGTTTTGAAAAGGCAATGAAAATGAGCCCTGGCCGAGATCAAGATGCAATGGTAAATAATGAAATGTCTCTATGTGCCTGTTTTTCTTCTTTCTCTTCTTTACCCACTACAACCTATGGTCTTCTGAGTCTCCCTTCAGTGTTAGAAAAATAAATTATGTAACATAATTGTGAGATCTTTTTGATAGCATAGGTAATACTATGAAGGCAATAAACCCAAGCAATATGACATGAAAGATTTCCCAAAATGTGCTGTGACCTGTGAAGCTTCCTTCTCAAGACTTAGCTGTTTATTTATTTTTTAATGACATGGCAGCTAATCACTGCTAGGTAGATCTTTTTCCCCTATGGGAAGAACTGGATAGTTCATTCTTTCATCCCTTTTCTGTGTCCTTTGTGAGAGTTGTGTCTTATTCATAGAGATAGAACCCGGGGAGTGTGATGGGCTAAAAGTGTTGCAGAGCTGGCTTCTAGAAGATATATCAATTTGCAAATTGGAATTAAACTAAATATGGTGCAGACAAAAGCAAACACTAGCTATGTCTGATGTTTACTTTTTGATTAAAATTACTCCTAAGCTGACTGCACTTTCTTCCTTTAAAGCTCAGAAGTACAGTGTTATCATTCACTAAATGTGGAATTGGAATAAATGGAAAAGAATAAGATAATTCTAATTTTTTCCCCTCTTCACTGAACTGGCTGCTTCTTATGCCTTCCCTGCTTCATCTTTGTTAGAACCAGTAACCACCCTCTGCAGCCTTGTCATTTTGGAGGACAGTGGCGTGGCATAGAGAGCAGAAAGCAAACAGCAAACAAACTCCCTTAAATGATAGGAAAGAATTTCCTCAGAATGGGGAATTTCTTTCCCTCACTATAATTGCATTTTCTTTTTACTTTATTTGTTGCTATCTCTCTGTTCCCCTTGCCAAACTGAACATCAAGCAATCACACAATTAAAGGTGCTCTATTAAGAAACATTGTTTTGTATACTTCAACAGCACTCCAGTAAGAGAACTGTGCATTTATCTTATGCATGGTCTGGGTTTTCTTCAAAACTCTGAAGAGGTACCACTACAGGGAGTAATGCAGACTGAGGTGTCAGTGGGGGATGGTGAGAAATGCACTTCTCTGTGGAGAGAGAAGCTTCTGATAATTAGTCTCTCTGCTGATTTCTAGAAAATCACGGGGGAGGACTCCTAACCAACGGTTCTCTTGAGGACAGTTGCCCTTCGAGATGGAACACCCTGTGGGAATAAGCTCATAACTGGTACTGTTCCTACACCCTGACTCTGCACCCTTCCCTAAGAGCACCCACCCATTCCCCTTTCCACCTTTCCTCTCTCCATTTCCACACACGATTAGAGGAGAATATTGATTTGGGGAGCTTACTGATGCAGCTTGTGGATTAGCCTCCTTCAGTCAACCCTTTGGATTTAGTCCAATTTCTTGTATACATTTATAGAGGCTGATATTTTGCTTTAGAAATGCTATCCAAAAGAATGTCACATTTTTCTTACATTTTACCTTAAAGTTTTAAGAATATTCAAAGGCAAAGAGCTTTGAGTGATTATGTTAATCCATTCACAGATGTTTACCAAATACATTCTACAGGCCAGGCCATGTTTGGCCTCCAGAGATATGTTAGTGAACAAGAGAAATAAGATTCTTGTTCTCCTGAAATTTGTATTCTTTTCATGGTGGGAAGGGGCATTAAAAACGCACACACACATAAATAAAATCATAGGTAATAGTATGAAGGAAATAAACCCAAGTGACATGGTAGAGTGTGTGGGGTTGGGGCAGGGAGACCATAGAGGGAAGCCTCACTCAGGAGTCACGAGATGAGGTCTAAGGGAGTGTTGTTCTGGGAAATTCAGGTGTCAAGTTCAAAGGGCCTGGGAAGAGTACAAGCGTCGTCTGAGCAACGCACAGACTGAGGGCCTGTGGAGCTGAAGTTTCATGAGAGGAGGGCAGAAAGGATTTAGCAGTCATGCAAGGAAAACTGACTTTTTAAAAAAATGTGGGAGCTTTTGGAAGGTTTTCTGCAGGAGAAGAACACATTCTGTATTTCACACGGGTCGCTCAGTCTGGCCTTCGGGTAATAGGAGACAGACGTAGAAGCTGGATCACCAGGTAGGGGTATTGTAGTAGTTGAGCAAGAGATGGTGGCCACAGGTTGGGGCTGGGAGGTGGAGAGGGACATGGAGCAGAGGCAGTGGGTGCGGGGTGGACTCTGCAGGTGGAGCTGGTGGCCCTTCTGGTGGGTTAGATGAGGGACGACGGGCAAAGGAAATCAAAGATGAGTTCTTGGTTTTTAGGCTTAAGTAGCTGGGTCGACAGTTGTGCCATCTACTGAGAGGGAGACAGATGCGCTCTAGGAGGAAGATGTTTTAAGGATAGAACTGGTGCTCATTAAATACACTTCTTGAATAAAATGCTTTTTATTTAGAAAACGAACACCTAGCTTATTACCCGACAGACGTTAGAGTTTGATTTTTGTCGAGTGGAATGTTCCTGACTTTATCAGCTGATCAAAGTTAAGGCCATGAGACTCGAAGTCACTTCAGCCATCCAAAGGGCTGGCAGCCTTTTTCATGGCCGTATCTTTATAAAACAGAAAGAAAGAATGAACTTCAAGGGCCTAATAGCATTGTCTGTTATCTTTTTCCATTTCTGTTACCGCGCTCGGGACTTAGAAACTATGAACCTACTTCTTATTCTTAGTATTCTCACACTTGCCTTCTGCTTTTTTTGTTTGTGTCTGTTTTATATTTCAAATAGAAAGGATTCTAAGCTAGAATGATTTTAAACCTAGCAGGAGAAAACACAGAGAGTATTATTGCTTGTGAGTCGGTAGACTGTGCTGTTCAGGGGAAGATCATAGTGATTCTTCGTGGTCTGAGGAAAGATGTTTTTGTTTTGGAACCCTTTTTTGTCATCTGTCTCAAGTGTGAAGGGGGAAAAAAAAATCTCTCCTGAAAATTTGACTGCAGTCTTCACCTTCTCAGAAACAGCAAAACTTCCACTTATGAGCCTCACAGAATTGGGAGTTTTGGGCCCCTTCCCTGCCCCCCGCGCGCGGGACAGACGGGCGCTCAGCCTGCAGCCGCCACAGACCTGGCTTCTGCCTGTCCGTTGTGGATGGAGCTCGTTTTGCAAGAACCAGTCTCGTATATGGCCCCTTAAGATGCCTTTTCCTTCGAATGCCTTTATTCCTCTTGCGATCCCTTTTTCTGGGTCATATTCATCAGCAGCTGTTTTCCAGCAAACCACAGTTATCTTACATGCTTGTTGATGATGCATGAACAAGTTCTGAAGAAGGATTTCTTCAGTCATGACGATGTCGGATATCACCTTATTGCTTTACATCACAAAAAATAAAGCAAGCTTACTTGACCCAAGGATTTTGGCAGGAGCGTATGGTTATACCTACTCGGCCCTTTATAACTGATCTTAAATGTCTTTTTAATAGAATATTTGTGGGTATGTGTTTTTGGATGTTGGGCTTTTTTTAGTTTGGTGGGTATGTTGATTTAACTAAATAAGTAGTGACCCCCCTTCTTACGGGCTCCTTGGTGTGTATTTAAGTGGACGTAGATTTGGATGAGTGTATTAGTGAGGCTGGAAAAGGAAGACATGAAAGTTCAGTCCAAAAAGAGATAAAAGAAGCAGGATCTTGAACCTGTTGAAAGATGGGTCAGTAA